ATGGACATTTTTATAACACGGATGCAGGTAGGCAGCGTCTCGTATATATCGATCTAGCCATATAATGCCAAAACCACAAGCCTACTGCAGCTCTATCTCTATCTGTGGGAGGTAGATACTTTATACTTCCTATGATCAAATGCTCCAACGCCAAGCATACGAGAGGACCACAATCCCCTCTGGGTCATTTCGTTTGTTGTGGTGCGGTCTCGTCTCTGCTAATTGTAATATTGAGCTTCTTTGGCTTCTTGTTTCCAGAACGAGTCCAATAATTTATCGCATCCAAAAATTTAGCCAAATGAGAGCTCCATCTCTTAATAATATCTCTTAAATCAGCCAACGATATGTAATTTATCATGTTGTCATATACTATTGCCTTAAGGGATGGGAGCTGAAGCTCGACGAGAAGCCAATGTTTACATTCCAAAACAGGGATAAACACCTGCAATCATAAGTAATAATTCATTCATTTGCGCACTTATTTATGAATACCTTTAAACTCAATCTAAAATAAATACTAACCTTATCGACCTCCCACCATGCAGGATAAAGTTTAGCTTGTCCATTGCCCAACGCAAATGATTCATCTCGTTGATTCTTCAAGTGAACGGCATTAAAAGACGTCGGCATAATTGTATATCGTGTATTTCTTTTATTTTCCTTAAGTTTCCTAATTATTAGAAGCGTGACACCCACGCATCGATATGCTATTTTACAAAAAAATACATATATTAGTAACTTACATAAATTTTAAAAAAATAATCAAATTGAAATATAAGAAAAATATAAGACTTACCCCTCCATCGAAATAGCCATTGTCTTCGACCCCTAATAATACGCCCCACCAAGACCAATCAAGCAACAAATAGATATCATCGTTGAGCTTGCATATGTCAGTAAAACACCCCTGGCTCCGCTCATGTAGATAAAAATCAACTGCGGTCTTAGCCCAAAGGGTGTTATCCAGAATTGTGTCCGGTAGTTGTCTCCTCTCCACTTCAGATACCGGTATGGTACTGGCCGGTAACTCATACGAGAGCCAACTTGAATCCATCATGTCCAGCACGTCAGAGGGTTTCTCAAGAATCCTACATATGACGCCATGTGAATCGGGCTCTTGAATGGTGGGAGGGACATCTTCAACGATGACAGTGGCCTCTTGAACGGTGGAAGGGGACTCTCGAGGAATGATAGGGGCCTCTTCAACGATAGGAGTGGACTCTTGAGGGATGACAGGCGAGTCGGGCTTCTTCTTGCGGTGTCTTCGCACTATTGGGGTGTACGGAGACTTAATAGCACGTGCACGACGTCTGATGCGTGAACTCTGTCGTGCAAGAAAAACCCGACGTAAAGCATCCACCTTATCGGTCCGCTAAATAATTAAATACAAATATCAGTAAATAAACAGACATGATATTTAAACAGTGAAAACAAAGACAAATATGTTTCAAACTTACATTGAATTCACCCAAGTCATTATTCTATCATAGTTCACAAAATGCATCAGATAACAAAGGCAAATATGTTTCAAACTTGCAACACTGTCAACTTAGTATTTGTCTTTGTCTATTGGTTGAAGTAATGCAATTCATTCAAGTTTCAATTTGCAGAAGAAGAATAGTTTCAGAGTATTAAAGAATACACAGTTTAGCAGAATTGGCAGCAAACGAACAAATTTACTTTCAACCAAAAGACAAAACAAAGACAAATACTAACTTCACAGTGTTAAAGAATACACAGTTTAGCAGAATTGGCAGCAACCGAACAAATTTACTTTCAACCAAAAGACAAAACAAAGACAAATACTAACTTCACAGTGTTAAAGAATACACAGTTTAATCTAAGTGAAATTACGAGTAAATTTATCATCAAGTTAAATATGGAAAATCTTAAACTTACCTCGTTGCGTAGAGTATGAACCTAATTCTGCAACGATACTACCATCTCACGTAGAGCGACAACCTCACCACGTAAAGTAGACACCTCCACACGCCATGCACCATCGTTATCACGTAGAGTACCGATCTCCTCACGCAAGGCATTGACCTCATCACGTAACTCCCTTGACTCATCCCGTGGAGGTGGAGGTGGAGAACAGGGAGATAGAAGTCGTGGCATCTTTGCCGGTCGCCTATCATGAGGTGATGGTGGAGAGAGGCTCGATGATGTGACGGGATAGGTGATGGCTCTCGTTGTAGAGGTGTATAGTCGGGTCGATCAGGTGATGGCTCTCGAAGTGGAGGAAGTGGAGGCTGCTCATCATTTGTGCCATCAAGAAAACGCTAACTAGCTTGCCACCAATCAGTGGCAAGCTCAGCCTCCGTGGGTGTCAGTCTCATTAATGGAGAGTTGGCCTCCTAAAAATATAAAAACTCAAACAAAGTTAAACGTCTACTATTAATAACTTGTTTATATATGATAGTATTTGTGTTAACTTACATTATTTATTGTCACATATGGTATTAAGTCTTCCCAATCCAACAGACGTTTCCTCTTCCAGGAAATAACCCTAGGAATATCATTTGAGGTTTTTAATGCATATGTCTGCATGCTGGGGAAAGCCTCGAATATCCAAATCTACAAACAATATAATAACAAACATTAGTAATTGTTAAATAATTAATTATAATTTTGAAAACATTATATAGAAATTCTTACCTTAAAGGCCCAAACAAAGCTTGACAAAGTGTATTTCGACCCATCGCCCCGCAAACTTTTGCGGTCATCAAAGGCAGATGACAACTTAGTCCAGGTAGCTTTCCATATATACGAACCTCACGGAAACAGATTCCATGCATTTAGGTCCTCTACCAATAATATTAGCTCCTGAGGAATAGGTTGTCTGGCCTCTCTGCCTAAAAAGCCGGCATACAAAAGTAATAGAAGGCATACTCGGACAACATCAACGTCATTCATCCGAGTAAAACCATCTTTCTTATTAAACAATTTCTTCAGGTCGTCGACGTGTAAGTTCGGCTTCTCTGTTGACTCATCAGGAAAAACCCTGGATAACCATGATGGGCGGGTGATATGACAAGTGTATCAGCCTACATCATCGTGTCCAAATCATAGACCAGTGATTAAGCAGAACTTCTTCCGCCCAAAACAAGTATACGCCGGTGGAAAATAGAATCATATCTCTTCCTCACCACGTTGTATATTGTCGGGTAGATCGCTAGTCATGGTCTGAAGCCACAAATGGGTCAAATTAGCATCTCCACCCGGATGTTGTACTCTCAGCCATGGCCCGAAGCAGGTTTCCTCAAACAATTTTCTTTGTGCAGGTGAAAGCTTCGAAGCAATTGTAGTGGCTAGGCTAACTTTATTCCTTAATGTCAATGAAGCCGAAAAAAATTTCTACAAAAACAATAAACATACCAAGTTAGATATACCAAAAACTACACTGTGAAGATATACCAAAAACAATAAACATAAATAGTAGTTTATTCTTGAAACTAAAATTTGCAACACTGTTTTGTCTTTTGGTTGAAATGAAAATCGTAACGAGATAATGAAAATCGCAACGCGGAAATGACTATCGCAACGAGAGAATCGCAACGCGAAATGAAAATCGCAACGCGAAATGAAAATCGCAATGGGATTTTGGTTTCGCGTTGCGATTATCTCGTTGCGATTTTCATTTCGCGTTGTGATTCTCTCGTTGCGATAGTCATTTCCGCGTTGCGATTTTCATTCTCGAAACTATTCTTTTATGCATTACTTCAACCAAAAGACAAAACAAAGACAAATACTAACTTCACAGGGTTAAATACTAAACAGTTTAGCAGTATTGGCAGCAATCGAATGAATTTAATAAGAAATCTAAGTGAAATGGTTAAACTATTATTGAAATTACCAGTAAACTTATCATCAATTTCAATATGAAAACCTAAAATAATGCAAAAATTTCAAAATAAAAATAATTAAAAAAACTAACCCTCGGAGGTTGATTTTCCATTTCTGAATGATTGTGAGGGATTTCTGACCGTGAATGGTTGTGAGGGATTTCGCCGACGATGGGGACGGAAATCTTCGGAGATGGGGACGGATTTCGCCGTAGAGAGTGAGAGATGGAGATGGAATGAGTGTTGTGATTTTAGGTTTGAGGTTATGAGTTGCGATTACTGTGGACGGTTCAGTTTTCGATATATTAAGAAAAAATTCGTGTTTGGAATTTGAAAAAAAAAATACGCGTTAATACGAATGGCGCTATGTAAATCGCATTGCGATAGTCAGATTCGCATTGCGATTTACGTATTCGCATTGCGATTTTCCTAATTCGCATTGCGATTTACTTAATCGCGTTGCGATTTACGTATTCGCATTGCGATTTACGTATTCGCATTGCGAATTATGAAAATCGCAACGCGAATACGTAAATCGCAATGCGAATTAGGAAAATTGCATTGCGATAGTCAGTATCGCATTGCGATTTTTCAAATTCGCATTGCGATTTACTTATTCGCATTGCGAATTGTGAAAAACGCAACGCGAAATTGGAAAATTGCATTGCGATAGTCATAATCGCGTTGCGAATCTGGAAACTGATTTGCGATAATGGAGATCGCGTTGCGAATTAGCGATCGCATTGCGATTTTGTTGGTCATTTTGGCAAATCACGAAAAAGTTGGTTAAAATCGTATATTATATGAGATTTTTGGTCATTGAGGTTATTTTCTCTTTAAATTAAATTGAAAAGTTTATGTGAATTCTAAAGAGAACTCATAAATGGTGATTTAAATGCAAAGTTGTGAAAGTTAAAGGATTGATGATGGAAATGAATATTTATGGAATGAATAACTATTTTAGAAAGTTTGAAGTTATAATAGATTTGTGATTTAATTTTATATCAATTTAAAATCAATTATTTATTTTATCGAAATTAAATTATATTAATACTAACATATAGTTTAAAAAGAGTGTTATGTATGTGATAACGTACAAATTACGACAAATCTTATGATTCCAATGATTCAAAAGGATAAGGCAAAACACCTCAGTAAGAGGTTATCATAGAAAAGGTTATGGGTTTCACTAAAAATCATGTATTTTTGTCATTGTTTTGCAATTTTATAACTGTAGAGTCTTTGCCTCCTCCATTGGGCGCCACCGCTGAGCAACCCCCGTTCTTCGATGGAACTACCAGGTTTCACTTTTTATTTTCTGGGCTTTCTTTTCATTGATCTTTTTGTGTTCTACTTTTTGCACTTGCTTGTGTTTATTGCCAAAATTGATCTCTTTTTCCTTCTTATTTTTTGTCATCTTCTTTTAAAGGTTGTATACTTCTTATAGTTGCCCTTTTGCGCAGCGTGTTTGGATCACCAGGAATTATAAGGTTGTTTACTTGATTTTGTTTCCATTTTTTTAAAGCATGGAATTGTTTATTATTTTTTCCAACTCCTTTTAACGTAAATAATTGGTTGGGTAGCAAGGATTGCAAGACAAGATTAAATTGGTTCCTTTGGACCTTCCTAATAGACCTGCTTAGTACAAGGAAAAAGTTTACCCTGAAAACAAGGTGAGACAAGGCATATATTTGGCTTTCTCAATAATGAGCATTGGTTCCAGTTATGGTAGAATTTATAAAATTATAGGACCGAAAACAAATTTTCAATAGAAAATACTTAAATTATATAAGAAATTGAAAGTTTCAAGAGCTTCGGTCTGTCCCTGAGTAGATCTATTTGATTTTGTCCATGGAGAATTTTATCAAAAAAAATTCATGTATGCGTTAAGGTCCATTAACCTGAGCTGATTAATTTGTCAACTTATTGGAACGTTTTAATGCTTGGACTTATTTTATATTATAAAATTGCATGAATTTCCTATCATTTTGGGGTCACCATTGTTTGAGCTTTATGAACCCTTTTCCCTCCTGTTTATTTACTATGTAACTAATTTCATCTTCAGGTGCCATCCTTGGAACATAATGGCAAAGTCATTGGGGAGAGTCTTGATCTGATTAAATATGTTGATAGCAACTTTGAAGGACCTTCTCTTTAACCTAATGTACGATCGGCTGAACTGTTCACTGCTTTTGAAAAGGTTTCGTTTCCACCTATATTAACCATGGTAATCTTTTGAGAATGTCTTAGGATCCTGAGAAGAAGAAGTTCTTGGAGGAGGACTTGCTTCAGGTGCTGCTTTTGATCACTTGGAATAAGCTCTTAAAAAATATGACGGCCGTTTCCTCCTTGGCCAGGACTTTAGTCTGGTAAATTGGATTTCCCTAGTGCTGTGGTCTGTTGTCGTTGTTTCATAGTCAAGTTTCAATGCTTCTACAAACCTGAAAAAGGTTACCTTAATTATAATCTCTCAGAAACATCTATAGTTTGGTAACTATTATTCTATGTTCCATGGACTAAGGAGAGAGTGTCTGATATGCATATGCATGATAAAAATCATAATATATGAAGGATTATTTATTCACACCAATCTGGGCATAGGCCGACATAGATACTTGGAAAATGGGAAGTTCAGGAAGCAAATTGTTATCAATTATAGCTTTGGATATATCATTGCATATCATTTGAGTTTTTCTGTTATGATACATGAGCAATTTTTTTTTTCAGGCGGATATTGCCTACATTCCTTTTGTTGAAAGATTCCTGATCTTCTTATCTGAGGTGTTTAAGTATGACATTACCGCTGGCCTGCCTAAACTGGCAGCATGGATTGAGGTATAATCTAAAAACTACATGCATACGCACAATTTTTTTTTTCTTTTTTTGAAAGCATATGCACCTAGTTTTGGTGTAAACTTGTTTTCTAGCCAATCTAAAACTTCAAACAGAATGGCCTACACATTCATAGTTACTCCACTGCTGAAGAAATGCAAACTTTTTCAATGTTAACGTACTGTTTCGATTTTTGAATTGATGATTGTTTTTCTTAAAGTTATTGTTCATGCCGAATTAGCCTCCTCAGCCTTTTAGGGGGAATTTTCTTTCTTTCTTATCTTCCAATCACAACTGCATCAGTTGCACAATCATGGTCCTATCTCGAAACATTCAGATCAACAGGCTTAGTACTAATCTGATACATATGCTTTAGCAACGTTTCTGTCTTGATTTCCTTTCTTTCCAATACTTATGTGTTGATAAATTTGACGATCTAGGAGCTGAACAAGATTGATGCGTATAAACAGACGAAGATCACTGATTCAAAACATTTAGTCGAATTTTACAAGCAGCGCTTCTTGGTACCTTCGACGCCCTTAAGATAACTAGTATTTTCATAAATTGCTACTGCAAAATGTTGCTAACTAGTGTATTTATGTCATTGCAGGCTCAGAACTGATGAAATTGCAGACGTCTTAAGATATATATGATATGAAAATACGACTGGTGTTCCTTGATGGGTTGTTTTCTCTAGTCAAAATCTTGGATATTATGTGGTTGTCACCGTGAAAGAGTAGACTCTAGTATGTAATAATATTTGCATTTTACATAAATAAATGGGCTTGTAGTTTGGGACCCTAACTTCCAAATGTTACTTCAGTTGTTTTGTTTTCGATAAATCAGAATAGCGTGATAAATTCTTGATTTTAATATAAAAAAGGATAAAATACACGTACACCTAATCATAAACTAAACCTTAAAATTATTTAATAATAAACAAAACTAACATTTAAATTGAATTTAAAATAAATTAATAATATATTATTAAATTATTGTTAATACATCCATAAATCAATATAACATAATTATATTGCTAATACATTCATAATTTTTAAATTAATATAAAATTTAATAATAAATTATATTGTTAATACATTCATAAATTAATATAAATTATATTGCTAACACATCCATAAATTAATGAAAATTATATTGAAAGATTTTTAAATTAATTTAAATCGTATTTATGTATATAACATAATTTTTTACAATTTAAATAGTTGAATAAATTTAAATTTCATAATATTCTAAGTAACTTCAATATAGTTGTACGTATAATTATTAATAAATATATTGTATTGATAGTTGATGATTTATCTTTTTTTTTTTTTTTTTTCTGCTTCGGATGAAAAGTTACATTATGAAGAATAAAGGAAAAAGGTATAGAAGCTGTAAATTTTCGTAAAGAATAAAAGGAAAAAAAAGATAGGAGGAAAGTAAATAATATAAATGAGTATCAATGAATTCAATCTTTCTTTTTTTAATTGTAATTGAGAGGACTTTAACTGACATTTGTATGTTAGCATGTTATAGACTCAATCGTTAGATTTTGGAGTTCATTTTGATAGATCATTTAAGTTTATTAGAGGTTTTGTTTTATCTATGCACAATAGTTGATTCGGAAACTTTGATACTCTTACAACCGAAAAATACGTATTCCTTAAAAGTTTCAATAAATAAAGAGATTTTTTTAAGTCTCAATTGATGAAAAACTGACAGTTTTCAGAGATGACTTTAATATAATAAGTTGCCCTTCTTAGTTGAGAGAATGACATAAATGATCTAATTTAAAACTTATGATAGAAAATATAACGACTCATTTGTCTTTTTAGAAGAATTTGATTAATAGACACAATTATCTTTACGCTGACGAAGTGTCTCGACGGTTTTACTCAAACGGAGGATGGTAAACTTTGTTTGACGAAGATGTTTGGTTAATATTCTTGGAATCCATTTTAAAATGTTTAAACTCGTTTCGGAAGATAAAAGTTCTTGTAAGAATTAAATTATATTTTTAGAAAATATATATTTAACGAAAATATAAACGTGTTAGGAATTAATGAGAATAAAAGTTTAAAGACATAGAATATGAAGATCAAACCGAGTAAAACATAAAATCAATATATCAAATTTAAAACTAAGAATTTTATTGTCAAAATTAAAAATTAAAGTTATATATGTATTTTATGGTGATTGAATAACATTAATTTAAATTTATCAAAATTGGATTAAAGCAAAAGATTAATTGAAAAAAATAAAGAAAATTACAATAAAATTATAAAATAATCAAATTATTTAATTAAAAATAAAATAATTTTAATTGTCCAATTTTAAACAAAATTAACTACATCCCTAAACTAAATTGGTCCTTAAACTTTTAGATATTTCAATTTCATCGCTAAAATATGATACTCTTTCTAAATTGGTCCCAAAACTTTTTGAACATTCTAATTTCATCCCCAAATTCATCCAAATATGTAATTAGTTTCAACCATATTTTAACCTAATTTTTTTTCAAACATATAATAATATAAATTGGCCTAAAGATTTTATTAACAACGGATGTGATTAGTATATATGTATAGTTTTGGATGAAATTGAAATGTTTAAAAAGTTTAGGGACTAATTTAAAATGAATATCAAAATTTAGGGATGAAATTGAAATGTTCAAAAGTTTGAGGACAAATTTAGAATGATAGTCATACTTTAAGGATAAATTTGGAACATTTAAAAGTTTAGGGACCAATTTAAAATGAGGGTTATACTTTGAGGACATATGATGCAGTTAATAATTTTATAAATTAAAATTTTATTTATAATCAAAATTTAAATGAAAATTTTAAGTTAATTCAATATTAAAAAACAACAAAAAAATGGTCACTAATGTTTGAGTAAGTTTTCGTTTTCACCATTAATGTTTCAAAAGTAACAAATTGATCACTAACATCATCGATTTATAACAAATCGATTATTTGTCGCTAACAGACGTTACTGTAGCAACATAATGATGATGTGGTACATTAAACAACCTGACTTAGCACGCCTGACCATATGAGACACCCTTTTACTATCGTTTGATCAACTGACTTAGCACATTTGATCATGTGAGACACCCTTTGACTACCCTCTATTTCTTCTTCTTCTTCTTCTACTAAAATATTCTGTATAATTTCGTGCCGTATCTCAACTTGAGGATGTTTCTTTAAGAATAGTTAGATAACATCTTCAGTTAAAAGCCAACAAATCATCAAGTATAGTAATCTAAGTGTTCTTGGTGGGCAAAATGCATCAAAGGCCACTAGTTGTTAACACAGCATCGCGGACCTGAAGAGTGGTCAGTTTTGGGAGAGATGACAGGTGATGCAAGTGGCATTCGTAAGGGACGCCCATCCAAAATTTCTAATGATTCATGCCTCTTGAGTTTTGCAAGACTCTGCAAACTAAGTTGGTAATTTTCGCTTTTTGTAAGCACTTTATTTAGATGAGAATTTGGATGCTCAATTGTTATATTGTGTCAGTGCAGTTAAAATCATTTTTAAGAACTAGACGAGCTTAGTTATATTTCAATCATCATATATTGTTATTCTAAGTTTAGATGTACCATTTTGAATGATTGATTTTAAGATCTATTAGTTATTTTTTATTTTCAAGTTAAAATGAGTTGCGGTGTCTATTTTGGTTTAGGTATTGACAAAGCTACAATACCTTGATCTATGGGGGAGTAAAATATCTAACAAAAGGGTTTCGGTCCTTAAGTTTCCCCAAGCAGAGCTTCCACAATCTTGCTTGGACCAATGTTACGAGCTTTTCAAATCTGTCATCTCTTAAATGTCTGAACATGATTAATTGTGCCATTGATTCTATCCTTGAAGACGATGGTGATGAAGCTTGTTTTTTCTGGAACAACTTTCACGAGTGAGGTTAAGGTCTTCTTACATATAAAAGCAAGTTCCTTACCTTATTTAGATGTATCCAAATCTTCTCTGAACCGGCTTGATTTTTTAGTTGATGTGAAAATGCTAGAACATTTGGATCTCAACCCTACCTCTATTGGGGATTATTCTATTGAAATGATTGTATGCATTGGAGCCGATCTGAAAACTCTAAATCTAAGCAGAACAAAGGTCAGCTCTGTAGGGATTGATATTTTAGCTGGACATGTTCCCAAACTTGAGATACGGCACCAAGCTATCCACATATTTCAGCTGAAAGAGAAGAAAAAGAAAAGGAAATCAAATGGTGTTTACGTTATCATTCATTTACTGCGGCGGTTAACAGTGAGTGATCTATTTGTTATAAATCAACAATGTCAGTAACTAATTTTTTACTTTTAAAAGTCGGTGAATAATGAAAAGTTACTCAAAAATTAATTATCATTTGTGTACTTTACCCTAAAACAATATTTTATTAGAGTCGTGTTTTGTTGACCCTAAGAGTGTATTTGGTTAGGGGAATGTGAGATTCCCATGAGAATGAAATCCACATTCCCCGTTTGGTTGGCCGGGAATGTTATTCCCGGTAATCTTACATTACCAAAGTAGATTTTTTGGGGTATATTACCGGAAATGTCATTACCTCCATTTCCTTAGGTATTGTTGGATTACCAGCGTTTTCGACTAAAATGCTCTTAAAAAAAGTTTTCTTTCAAAAAAATTCTTATTCTGTCATTGAATAATAAAAATTCTACGAAGATTAAATTACAAATTTATCCTTAAACTATTTTATATTTATAAAAAAAATCTATAATTAAAATTTTATATAAAGTTCAAGAGTTAAAATAAAAATTTACCATTTCATTAAATATTTTTATATTTTCAATTTTGTAAAAAAATTATATAAATTTTATGAATTTAATTTTTTTAAAGAAAATATATAAATATTTTCTAACTTGTTAAAAAAATAAATATATAATAAGGACGATTTGATAAAATATACATTCCAATAATCTTTTATTCATTTAACCAAACACGGTAATCTTACATTCTTGCTAAACAAACTAAACACAAAATACAACATTCACAGTAATCCTATTCCCTGGTAATCTTTAATTCTCACTGGTAATCTTTAATTCCTACTGATAATCTTATATTCCGTTAAAAAGTGACGTCACCGGTCATTTCTTAACCACAAAGAGCTAAACACAGTTAATTCCCGGGGGAAAATAAAACGATACTGAATCAATGTCAGTGGATAAAATTTATTTGGGCCTATCTCTTTGTCTCTTTACCTTCTTTCCCATTCATATCAAAATTGCCGAAAAGAAAATTCTCGCTGGAGCTCATAGCTGAAGCTTCCATGGGATTAGTTTCAGTCGTTCCCCATGGCGGTGCCATTTGCATCGCCCTCAATTTCGATCTCAGACTTTCCTCTGTTTCGACTACGGTTCAGTCTCCCAGATGGACCGGACTCCGGTTCACAAATCCTCGTCTCTCCGTTCTCCATTCAGGTCTCTTTCCGCCATGCTCTTATGCTCTGTGCGTTGAAGCGTTCGTTTTTTAAGGTCAAAATATACCGTCAGTTCCCGCAAAGTTTGAGATTTAATCAATGTACTTACAAGTTTAAAAAAAATAGTTCAATTGTTGATACAATAAGTATTCTTCTCTGTCAAAATTTGCTTAGTATAATGTGTGTTTCCTGAATTCATAATTATTTGCTTGTGAAGCTGATGAAATTTATTGAGTATATTGATAAAAGAATGGGTAGAAAATACTAATAGTGTTGATGATTAAACATTTAAACTAAAATTTTCAAATAAAAGTAACAACATTTAGGCTGTACTTTGTAAAGTGGAAAGAAGGTTGGAAAATGAAAATTAAAGGTAGAAGATTAGAAAGATAAAAATTTATTTATTTTCATTTTCTTTGGTTTGCTGGTTAGGAATGAATGAGAAATTTCTTTCCATTCATTGCTTGGTAGATTTGAGAAATGACAACCCTCTCATTTGTCTTTCCCATCAACTTTTCACTCTCCCTTTCATCCTTTCATATTTTCACTCAGCCAAGCAAAACTTTAATTTTTAATTTTAAGTACCGGATAATCTCAAATTGAGGACTAGCTGACGGCATATTTTGATCATGTTTTTGTTTTTTTTATTTTCCATTTTAATTTGTGATTCTTCTTACAGTGAGCCATAACCGGCAGGCAATATGTTTCCCGGTTGCTCGCGCCAGGGAATGGAGCAGGAGGATCAACTGTCTGAAGGTGATTTAATTTTTTATCAACATAAGGAATTTATATTAATATCCTAAAATTGAATCTTTTTCATCGTTTTTTGGAGAAAATGGTGGATTTATGGGATAAATCTGCAGATGAGGAGAATTCTTATGCTAATTCCAAGGAGAAACTTCAGGAAAATAAAGCTTATGTATCATCTGCTAAAACCGTTGCATTTTGGGTAAGATCTGTCAAAATTGTTGCTGTTTATTCTTTATTGAATGTGGATTCATATAGTCCTTTGTGGATTGAAGACATTTTGGGTATTCATTGTTATGTTTAGGTGTGCTCGGCAGTTACTTTTGGAGTTGGTGTGGGGTTGAAAGAGGGAGTTGGCAAGGCATCAGAATTTTTTGCTGGTATTTTGGATATGTGTGTTGAAAGTTACCCATTAGTCACTTGTTCCATTATATCTATCTGACTGATAATACATGGCCTTTTTCCTGTTTTAAATGAATTTCAGACTTTCAGCTAGGTTTTTTCTCTTTTTCTTGCTAATGCTGTAGTTATGATTTCCTTTCAGGTACCTATTGGAGCAAAGTTTGTCGGTAGACAATTTGTTTGTCTTTGTTCTGATCTTCAAGTACTTCAAAGTGCCACATATGTATCAGGTGTCATATCTGCTTAAGATATTGTTATAATTCCATATAACCATGCAGCCTGAGGCTGTCAGTTTTTAGTGTAACATCTCTGGGGAAGATATTCTCGCACATGATGTGCTTTTCTATGTAAATTTGAAGTTTTTTATGTACAAAATGTAGAATCGGGTTCTTTCATATGGTATTGCTGGTGCAATCATCTTTCGTTTGTCATTGATACTACTTGGAACAGCTACCCTTCAGGTAGATCATTGTTCAATTTTTAAGTTTGCATCTGCATTGCTTATTTTCTGGGCTCATGAACTCCCCTTTGCTGTTTTAGAGGTTTGAGGTGGTCAACCTACTACTGGCTGCTATACTCTTATTCTCATCGTTCAAGGTAGTCTACTGATTGGCGAGACAATCAAGTTGCTATTTATCTAATACGTTGTGGTGATATCTTATTTGCTAAATTTATGACAGTTCTCCACGTGTTGTTTGCTTCATTGAGTTCAAATTCTATCGGCTCATCATTTTGTATTATCTTGTGATAGCTATTTACCAGTGAGGAAGATGACACTGATCTGTCTGACAACTTCATAGTGAAGACATGCCAGAGATTTATCCCCGTTATATGTGATATTCTACCTTTGAATTGGTTTCTGTTCTACTTTAATTCGAGCTTATGTAGTTTATTATGTCTATTCTTTACAAGTTGACGACTTATGTGTTGGCTGCAATCTTTCTTATTGAATTCAGCTAATTTATTTGCTCTGCTTAATGCATGTGATTGTGGTTTTATTTCCTTTTGTTTTTCTTGTTGCAGCTAATTATGATGGTAATAAATTTATAACTAAACGGGACAACATTTGGCAAGTAAGTCTTCTATAACAAGCTTCACATCCTCGGTTCTTGTTAACTTTATCACATCATGTTTGTGTGAACTAGCAGTCTTTTCTTATTCTGAAACATATTTGAATTCCTTTACTGAGTTGAATGAATTCTTGATTCTAACAGGTGTCAAATATTTTGGACAGGCCACTCCTTTGCTTCTCACAGTAGCAGTTATTGAGCTCAGTGATATAGCATTTGCTGTAGGTTCTCATTATTCCTCACACATGCCTAGGATATGACTTGCTGGTTAATGATGCAACGAGGATACTGATGCAAATTTTCATTTTCTTTAGGTTGATTCAATACCAGCTGTTTTTGGCGTTACACGGGATCCTTTTATAGTTTTTTCATCTAATATTTTCGCCATCTTAGGTAATTCTTTTTCTTTCATCTCTCTCTCTCTCTCTTGTGCATTCGTGCTCGCGCACACATACACACAGTCATACAGTATGACTAGTTCATATTGCTGTTCCTTCAAGGTTTAAGGTCACTTTACACACTCATTGCTGAGGGTATGGCTGATCTGGAATACTTGCAGGTAGTGTTTACTCTCTCCACTTGACCTTCTTATGCATGCCTTACATTTGACGCCAGTGAAAATGTAGAACTTCGAATGTAAGCTTTTTCCTGTAAATGACGAGAATGTGATAATCATCATAAATAATTGAAGATATATCCATGCAACTCGTACAAATTTGTTCATGTCAATATTCTGCTGCCAATTCGTACTTATCTTGCAGATAGCTGTTGTGTTATTAGCCCATCCAGCTCAAATTTGTACCGATAACTTGTATACTGATTCTTTTCCCTTCCTTTGGCAGCCTTCCATTGCTGTTGTTCTAGGTTTCGTTGGGTTTAAAATGATCTTGGATTTCTTTGGTTTGTACCTTGAATCCGTATCGGTCGATACAAATTCTTCTTTATTTTCGAAAAGAACTTCATGTTTTAATTCATTGATGCAGGATTTCATGTATCTACAGAGGCGTCACTCGGTTTTGTGGCGACAAGTCTCAGTGCTGGAGTGCTGTTTAGTTTAGCAAAGAAGGGTGAGTAGCTGAAATCAAGTGAAGTGCAAGAGCAGGTGAAAGGGTCTATATTTTGTATATTTAATCTATAAGTGCAAGTAAGCTCTAAAATTGCCGATGCTTCTTTGTTTCTCATCTGTCTTCAACAATGAAAATGAAGATTAATTGTAGTTAACTCGTCTCTCAGCTCTAAAATTTTCTGTTTATAAATATAAAGTATTCTTATTGAACAATAATACAGTTTATTTTTCTTATTTTCATAACTTATATTCTTCTAATGTTATAACATTTCAAGTTATATTTTTATTTTTCCCAAAAAAAAAGTTATATTTTTAATTTATGTATTCGACATCGAATGTTAGAAATATGTTTAGATCACATAAATAATTAAAGTTTCCTTACTATTTAATTAAGAAATATACAAATTAAAGCAAGCATACGAAGAATGGCAAAATCGCGGAGATAATATTTTTGGTAAAATAATTTTCTATATATTGACCACTCTAATTTATTTTCTCAAGTAGGATAGTCTTTATAATGTCGTAAGAAAGTTACATGAATCATGTAATGTATTTATGAAAATGTATAGAAGATCCAACATCTTTTTCTAAGATACATGTATACCTATAAGGTGACAAGTGTTGCCGTTGGAATGATATTTTTCTAAAAACGAACAATCTAGATATCTTTTACAAGTCATCAAATAATCTAAATACTTTTAACAATAATATTAAATAAAAGTAATAATAATAATTTTTCAACCTACCTTTTATATGAGCAAATCTTTATTCAACCTAATTACGTAAGAAGATATACCAAAACAGGGTAAGATTATATCCATCTATCTACATATAAACCCAAATAGGGTAAATTACAAATTCCATTACTAAATTTTATTCTCTCTCCTATTGTACTCACTGAATTTTTAAAAAAAAAATAATTTTCTCACTAAACTTAATACTTTGAGATTTTTTTTGCCACTCTGTTGCTGAGTAGTTAACGATGCTAAAAGGCTATGTTTTAAAAAACAAAATTTTCACCAAAATGATGTCATTTTTCATCTATATAAAAGCTCTATTACAACGGCGTTAGTGAGAAAACGGCTTAGTAAAAAAAAAATAATGTATTAAGTTCAATGAAAAAATTAAAAAGATTTAAAGTATAGTGAGTGAAATAGGAGGAAGAGTAAAGTTAAGTTGCAAGATTTGTAATTTACCCTATAAAAGAATACTCGTAGCCTCGTTTTGGTTATAAAGTCCAATCCAGTCGCTCTCCATCGAAAGCCCAAATTTAAGACCACATTCAGATCTCGCCACGTAAACAACATAATATTTAACACGTGGCGAGATCCTACAAGGCAGAGGGTGATAAGTGCGCACCCCTCTTAGGAAAGACTTAACCAACGTGAATTACAATTTTAGCCGCAGTGCGAAGCGGTCAGCGATCCCATTTTTTTTTTCTGTTTGTTTCGTTCTCACGCAAACAAAAGAAGATCAACTCCCATTTCTCTCATAATTTTCTTTTTTTTCTTTTTATTATTCTATTAACTTCGTTTACCAAAATATTTAATAAAATAGGAAGAAACCCGTAGGAAGGAAAGGTGCGTACTGCGCACTTTTCCTAATTTGTCTGCTTTAATCGTTCCTTTTTCCTTCCTCCTCGAATCTTTGGTATTCTTTTTGGCTCGCTATGTTGATTCGTAATCGGCTAAGTTGGAAACTTTTCTTTCGTTTTGTGATCTGGTGGATTTTCTTCAGCTGTTTTCCAGGTATATTAATTTTCCCGACAAACAAACACACGGAAGTTGTATGCAGTAGATTTGATGTTGATATGATTTTAATTTGTTTCTTTTTTTCCTTTAGGATTAATTTCATCGGCAGAAGTTACATTGGATTCGATTGAAATATTCAACACGCACGAGTGGCTACTAAGTCCGACGGTTTATTTCGCGTGCAAAGGAGAGAACAAGACGGTTTTGCCAGATGTCACCAAAAAAGACGTCGTCTATTATTTCAAGGGTGAAGAATCTTGGCAGGTTTTTATAATTTTCCCTGATTTTGAATCTTTTTTTAACTACTGTCGGTTAGTGTAAAATGAATTGATGTAATAAAGATCAGTGCTCATTGTTTCAGAAGATTTTCTTGGTCCTGTATTAATAGAGATGTCAAAACTTCAATTATGTCTAGCTTTATGAAATATGCAATCCCTATTGGAAACTTGGAAGAGTTGTAATCGTTTGAATTTTCTTCTCTATGGATGGCAACTTAATGTAAATTCTTGCATTATGTGTGTTGAATCAAAGGTTCTTTAGGGACTGGATTAACTCTTAGCTCTCTATGTTTTAATGATACATTGAGATTTGGGAGACAGAGGAAATAATTGACTAGGATGCCCATTTGAGTTTCACGTAAGTTTGGTCTGGATAAGGGTGCTATTACATTTTATATTAACTAAGCTCTTCCTGAGTTGTTTCCGAAGAGTAAATAAAATGCGTTATCTTTTTGTTTTCAGCCTCTTACTGAACTTGAAAGCAAAAAATGCAAGCGGTGTGGATTCTATGAGGAGGATACCTTGAAATCAGATGTATTTGATGAGTGGGAGTTTTGTGCTTCGGACTTCAATGCTACTGGGAAATATGTATTGTTCAAAGAAAAGGAACTAAATGCTACATTGAACTGTCAAGATTGCAAGTCTCTTCCAGCTGGTAAGAGGATTTTTTAGCTCTTCTCTCCTACTCTATGGTTTGGAACTGTTATGCCCTATCAATGGGCTTGTTGAGGGCATGCCTGATTCTCACTTCCTTTTCCTGTTACAAATTATTCCATTTTGAGTCATTGTTCTTGCATTAGATTTTCTGGTTCTTATTCTTCAAGTTAAAGTATTGCTGAAATTAAATTGTTTTCTTCGCCACATTTAACTAGGAAATCCGAAATTCCTTTGACATGATTAAAAGAGCTTAGGCATGCCGCCTGAGAGGTTTTAAGGCTGAAAATACAACTTATTCATCTAATCTCGTTTTCCTCTTATAGAATTGTTTTGAAATTGTTTGCTTAAGCTCTCCAGATTCAGATGTAGTGTTCCATTTGTACTATCCCAGTTTAATTTCAAATGCCATAAGGTCTTTCAATATATGCTGACAATGCTTTATTTTGCTGGGTGTTAGGTGCTACCGGTTCGGGTTTTGAAGTGGGTGATAATGAGAATAAAACGCGGGTTGCTATTATTGTACTGATTGTTCTGGCCGTTTTAATTTTAATAATAATTGTGATGGTGATGGCTTATAAATACTGGCAAAAGAAGAAGAGGCAACAAGACCAGGCTCGTTTCCTAAAGCTTTTCGAAGAAGGGGATGACCTTGACGATGAACTTGAGCTTAGTTCTTCATTATGATTAAATGACACGGTTACCTCCTGTACAGTAAGTTGACCTTTCATAAATTTTTCTTTTTGTGGAGAAAAATATATATATATATACTTCAACAGCTGTGTATTCTAGGTGGCTTAAGATAAGTATAATTGAGCATTGTGGCTCTGTTGTCACAGCTATTAGTTAAAGTCTGCCCACTTCCTATTGATGAAAATTGCGCTGTGTTTGAGACAACTATACGTTTAGATTTTGCAGCAAATATTGATAATTCAAGTGTTGAAAATTGCCTTTCATTTTTCTTATTTTCATAAATTAAACCGTCTGAAATTTTATTTCTTAAAGATCTACCCACCCAAATTTTGCACCATCTGTCACGCTTAAATTGAATGCGATTCATGAATTTTCTAATCTAATTTACACACCATAGATTGCCAAAGCTATTTGCATTGCACATTTCACAAATTGCAAATTCAACAATGTTAAATGAAACCTAGTAAACAAATGCGATTACGGATTTATTTGGGGGTTAAATATGAAACCAATAGTATAGCTCACATTGTAATAACACCATGTTAGAGAGTTCCCAAGAATATCAATCATTTTTTTAGGAGGTATCCGAGCAATCCGACTTTATCGGGTTTGTATGAACCTATCTCACTCTGATTTAAGCTTTAACTGTCTTTGATTGGATGATCTCGTACGACTTGTAAACCTTCCCACAAACTTCAAGACCTCGTCGATCAAAATCACGGGGATTGCAACGGCCAGAACCAACAGCCATTCATTAAAGCTTAATGGTACGATACCAAACACTTGAGCCAGGAATGGCACATAGAGGATCAAGAAGTGCAAGCCGAAGGAGACGGACATGGCAAGGAGGAGCCAAGGGTTGACCCATGGAGGCATCGTCAAGAGGCTTCCATCCTCGGAGAGGGCGTTAAGGGAGTTGAACATTTCAATGGCAACCAAAACAGAAAGGGAAAGGGTCATGGCTTTTACTTTGCCTCCTTGGAAGTAATCGCATGGATTATTTTCAAAGGAGAAGATTTGATTCCCAGCTGTGAATGATGAAACGGTGAAATTATTCCATGATGAGCACTGGTCCCAGTTGGCGAGCTGAGTATGTGACAAGGGTGTGGCCGTCACTGCTAAGATCGATACCAAAGAAGGAACCATGTGTGTACCAGACAATGAAGACACCAACAGTTGCTAGTCCGACGTATAGTCCAATCACCTGTGCGAAACAATGATGTAAAAGATCAAGAAGAACTAAATCAACAAGAAAAAAATACTTGATAAAATCAAGCAAAGGTCTAAACAAAGTTACCAGATAGCGGAATAAAATCCAAGCAGTGATGAGTGAATCATCACTTCTCCTAGGGGGTTTCTTCATGATGTCCTGTCCGGAGGATTGAATCCCAAAGCGGTTGCAGGTGGTCCATCCGTAACAAGATTAACCCAGAGAAGCTGGACCGGAATCAGACCCTCAGGTATACCTAATGCTGCTGTTAAGAATATGGAGGCAACCTCACCGATATTTGATGAGATCATGTACCTGAAATAATGTGTCTTAGCATCAAAGAACTCCAGAAATAAAATGATTATAGGCCACAATCAATATTCAAGCAAAGTGAGGAACCGTATCAAGATAAAAATTTATAGGCAACCTGATAAAAGCTTTCATATTGTTGTAAATGGATCTACCTTCAATAACGGCAGCAACAATAGTACTAAAATTGTCATCTGCCAACA